TTTTCGTGGATTATATCGTGTGGATTTTGTATTCAACTTCGTCGGTTCTTCTCGAGGAACAAAAGTATCGTCTGGAAGGTTTATATCGTGAATTTTCGTCGGTTATATCGTGTGGATTTTATATTCATTTCGTCGGTTCTTCTTGAAGGACTAACGTATTGCCTTGGAGGTTCATATTGTGGATCTTCGTGTGTTATATAAAATAAATAAATAAATAATAAATAAATCGACTTTATTTTACGAGGGTAACACGTGACAGTAAAGAACTGATGAACTTGTGGCCCTCACACTCACACTCACTACCTCTACATTGATTATTTTAGCACACAACATTCCTCACATGTTGATTTTTACTGGGGGAAGGAAAACCGGAGGACCCGGAGAAAAACCCTCGTGTGGAATTTGTAGTCAACTTCGTCGGTTCTTCTCGAGGTTGTGGAACATATTATTATTTGACACTATCTAGGAATTATCATCGAACACTCTCTTGTTTATACTTCGACATAACAAACGATAACCACATCCGCGTGGCTTAACTTGTGTTAGTACAACATGTCTGAAGAGTCTGGAAACGAAATGGTCGACACGCTGRACGACCTTCACTTGGAAGCTGACAGAAAGAAAAGAATACTGGAACTGAKTAGTCGGAAGCGGAATGCAAAAAGAGAAGTTACAAAGGTCAAACATCATCTGGAGAAGSTACTAGCAACACCMAACTCTCCTGTAGAGKGTATTGAAAGCTGTATAGACGCATTGTGGACCGCGCTAGAGCAAACACAGGATGTACTAGATGAACTATCAACTTGCTACCTAGACTTAAAAGATGAAGAAAACCAAAACCGTACAATGAAAGAGGCTGAGGACTTCGAAATGGACTGTCAACAGACTATCGAGAAGGCGCAAAGTACAGTTATTGCAGCTTCAAAAGGACCAAGTGAGAACACCGGTCATGTTGCGTCCGATCAAAATAATGAAGGTGAACTACCAACAAATAATTCCAATGATGGAGCACCACTAGCATTGGAAGACGCTAATACAAACGATGTTGGCGGTGAGCCCTTAGCAACAGGTAAAGATACACCAACAGTAAAATCACCAGCTAGCCTTGCCAGCACACATTTTAACACCAGACTAGAGCCATTGAAAGTGCCAATATTTGATGGCAATAAAGCCAAGTTCGAGGAGTACTGGATGTTGTTCTTGAGTCTGGTCGATACTTCCCAAGAAATGCCAGCCTAAAGATGKCCAGGCAACGCCAAAGCCTAACCGGGGCTGCATTGAAGGCAATTCGTGGTCTCGGGGTCTCCCAACCTGAATATGATGAGGCTAAAGTTATTCTGAAGTCAAAATTCGGAGGACAACGTCGCCAGCTTCGTGCCTATCTAGATGATCTAGAGAAAAWGCAACCACTTCGTGCTTTCGACGTCAAGGGATTTGAAAGGTTTGCTGATCTTGTACGAGTTACCGTTGTCAAGCTGCAGGCTGAAAGCCGTGAASGAGAACTTGGAGACGGAACACTTCATAGCATGCTTGCAAAGAAACTGACAGACCGACAACTGGAATCCTACACCAGATGGACGACTGAACATGTCCAACAAACTTCTGTATTAAGCCTCAATGAGTGGCTAAAGGAGGAAGTCACAATAAAAGTCGAGGCCGCAGAAATGGCTCACGGTCTTGGAACAAAAGCCACAGATTCCAACTTCTCTTCAAAGAATCGAACTGATAAAAGTAAACCAAGATCTTTCTGCAATGCAGGACCTCAACAAAGACCTAAGTAMACCATTGAGAAATCCAAGCTTCCTTGTACCTTCTGTCAAGCTGCTAACCATGGCATATGGAATTGTAAAGCATTCCAGCAAAAGTCAATTGAWGATCGTTGGAATCTTGCAAAAGAGAAGAAACTATGTTTCAGATGTCTCGGCGGAGATCATCATGGCAAAGACTGCCGGAGGTCCCAACAGTGTAACATTGACGGCTGTCAAAAGATTCATCATCGTTTGCTTCATCGCTCGGGTGCCCCAAGCTCGTCATCGGATGTTATGCCTACAGGCCCGGGAAGTTTCGCACAATTCGCTCAAGCATCGCCATGGCAACCGCAACCTTGGCAACAACAAGGTCATTTCTCCAAACTTCCCCACGGGAGGGGGTACAATCAAACAATACCGTTACCATGACAACCARGAATCCAACAGTTCCTACAACTGCATACTCKCTCCGTACCATTCCGGTATGGTTGAAGACTCCTAACAAAAAGGTCAAGGTCAACGCCATTCTCGATGATGGGTCAAATGAAACATTTCTAAATGAGGAAGTCGCAAATTTGTTAGGACTGCATGAACCATTTGAAACTGTCCAAGTTCATGTACTGAACAACTCGATAGAGACATTTCAGTCAATGCCTGTTAAGGTTGACATTGAAAGTGTTGCTGKAAATTTCAAAAAGGAAATTGAAGTCAAGACATGCCCGCGCCAAGTAACCGGAAACTACAAGGTGGAAGACTGGAATAAGCGAAAGGCAGATTATCCGCACTTAGAATAGTGTGAATTTCCACAGCCTGCTAAAGATGGCATCGTGGACCTGTTGRTCGGAGTCGATAACGTTGAACTCCACTACTCTATGGCCGACATCAGAGGCAAGAGCGGTGAACCTATCGCTCGTTTGGGTCCACTTGGTTGGACATGTGTCGGAGCTACAGAAAGAAACACGAAACATAACAAACAAACAAACCTCTCATCTCATTCACTCATTTCTCACTTTGGATCCGTCAAAGCAGAACTGTATTGATGAACAATATGATGCAACTCACTTATTGAGGAGATTCTGGGAAGTCGACAGTTACGGAACGCAAGCTGACTGTGCAAATGTTATGACCAAAAGTGAAAAGGAAGCTCTTCGAATCGTGCAGACATCGTTACAACACACCGGAAGTCGATATCGTGTCGYTGTACCTTGGAAAGAAAACAAATCTGAGCTCACCAACAATCGAGACACGGCCTTAGCGGATCGTTTATTGAGGAAGTGTCGTCTTTTAAGCTGCTCGGTGTTATTTTATCGCAGGATCTCACCTGGACGGCGCATTGTGATTATATTGTGAAGAATGCCAACAGACGCCTTTATGCCTTAAGACAACTCAGGAAGTGTGGAGTTTCAACCAGTGATATCGTTAAAGTGTATTGTTCTCTGATAAGATCAATCCTAGAGTACGCTAGTGTAGTTTTTGCGGATCTTCCTGAATATCTCTGTAACATTCTAGAGAGGTTACAGAAACGAGCCTTGGCAATCATTTTTCCTGATAATTTAGTTTAGTTACGATCAAGCACTAGCAAAAGCCGATTTGACATCTCTTGGAAGCCGTCGATTAAAGGCTTGTAGCAAGTTTATCAACAACATTAACCCGGATAATCCCTTGTATGGTCTTATAAGTAGTCTGCATGTAGCCAGGGTCCCTACATATTCACTAAGATTCGGGGTGCGCAGTGTCTTAAAATCAGTTCGCACAAATCGATTTACAAATTTCATAACTTATAAATATGGTGTACAATTGTAATCAGCTATGTCAATTCAGTCCTCGGACTGCAAAATTAGCTCCAATAAACAAATCATTCAATCATTCAGATGACCAAATACAATCAGTTTATGACTGGGTGGGCTCATTGTGCACTTTGAACTGTCAGACTTSAATAATAAACTTCACCTTCCAGATCRAAATGTCACTGAATGTCAAAACACCACATTGTACATGTCAGTGGCAGATGCAACGCCATCCTTAGACCAATTGATGCAGATGACGACACTCTGCCTCTTCGATTTGAAGATATCCCCTCTGTTGAAAGTATCCCCCCCGAAAATCTGTTAATGGATGATAGTGATGACGATCTTTTAGAACAGTAAGTATATCATATGCAAGATTACTAATTCTACTAACTTTTATAAAATAACTTGGATACTACGCGCGTTCTGATTGCCCGACTGCCGTGTTTGTATCAGAGTATGTAGAGTAGAATAGGAAAAAAATCAACTATTTATACAAAAATGTATCCGAAAACTTGGCAACAACTAGTTATGAGTATTCTGCATGAAGTTTTACTATTTCTTGTAGTTTTTGAGTGCATAGAATCTTCGGTATAAACTATAGAAAACGTAAATATCTCCTTATTACGTAGAAAACGTAATAAGCTTAACTGCATCTTTATTATTGTAAATAACGTGTGAAAAGCAAGTTACATTTTTCTATGACAGCTAAAAATTGAGGAATTTAGTGAGTATTTTGCATTTTATTGAGATACTACTTAAGAAAAGTACTATACTACAAGAATATGTCGATTTGCGCTTGAGAATCGAGATTCAACGATTGTTCATAATGAGTCTCTTTATAAATTCGTTACATACAAGTACACGATAAACAAGCTACTAGTTTAACCTAAAAATATGAATATCAGCTTATTTATTAAACGTAATTTATCCGACCAAGGTCTTTATTTGGAGCTTTGGGAATATTTTCGTACGGTTTGTTGTCATTGCAGTTCTTACATCGCTCGCATAAAATTATCTTCAGTTTGATATTGTTACCAGATACCAGTTCAATAAAAAATCTTATCCATGAAACGGAGTTCATACGACCAATGCTTTCATGTGTTATTTGTGGCTTTGTGAATTTTTTCGTCGGTGATGCTGAAGTGCCGGCACGTCGAAGCGGCTAATCAAACATCATTTAAAGTGTCAAAACAAAGTCTTTCAGCAAGTATATTCCTGCAGTTTTTTCAAAAATTTCATCTTGATATCATTTCCATACCAATTCTGAAAGGAAACGTAACATAAAGCTTTACTTCAAATCAGTGAATCGACGAAGATGTAAATGTTTTCATTCAGCGAAAGCAGTACTCATTCCGTTGCTGGTTTTACCTACCTTTTTCTATTTTTTTGCGTCCAGTTGACCTTTTGACAGACATGCATCCTTTCTCCTCAAAGAACACATAGTTCATGATTCTTCTAAGGTCACTAAAAAGGCAATTTTGATGCAAAAAGAAAGAAAGAAAGTCGCCCGCCGTCTTCCGCCATTTTTTTCACATTTTGTCAAACCTGCCAACTTCGCCTTTCGTTAAAACGTGAACTGTAATTGGCTGGTTGAAAAAGCCATTGAAATGTTTGAGGTAAGGAGAAACCTAGTTTTGATCATAAAAATTATACTCGAATTCTAAAGTTTTTAAAGCCATATTTCAGAAAAAAGAGTCATTTTATAAAAGCAATAGATAACTTTTTCCCTGTGTTTACATASCCTGATGCAAACACTCGGGCAGGTTTGGAGAATTCTCGATGGTTATGCAAACCCTCGTCTCGAATTCTCCCAACCTACCCTCGTGTTTGCATCAGGCTATGTAAACACGGAAAAAGTTATCTATTACTTAATTATTTTACATAAACATGATTTTCTTTACTAATATTCTGTAGGTTTTTGGTTAGATATGATGGATACTAATGGATACTTTATTGTTTATGTCTAAAACAATTGTCATCTTTTGCAATTATTAAGTTTTGTTTCATATTTAAGGCCTGTAGATGAAACCCAAAATAGGAGGGACAGCAGATTTTCTGTAAGTTTTTTTATTAACTATAGTCAGTCTGCATGCCATTTATTCACCTGCCAGACAATATATACTTTTATAGCAAAATATTGTATTAGTACAAAAAAAACAGTCAATCAGTTGATTGAAATTTATTAAATAAGTTCTTGAGGTTAAACTAGAACAATTTGGTTAAGGTAATTACATTACATTATTCATTTTTATAATTTGTATTTGTCTTACAATTTTGACTTACAATTTCGTAGGAAACTTTTTGGTCCATGGCCAATATGTATAGGTTAAACATGTAACTCAGAACACAATGTGTGTTTGAAGTGGATGTATAAAGTATAATGTCGATCTGTATGCTTTAATTCATTATTAATTTAGTTAACCACTTACTTACCTTTTTAATTTTAGTTCATCACTTAACTTTTGTTAATTACTTTTTTCAGGATCCTGGTTTCAGATTTCGCCAGTCACTACGTACTAGTAATGGAAATAGCAGATCGGTATGTTATGAGATTTTTGGTTTCATATTTAAACRGTATTGTTTGTCTTTAAGTTGTTACACCTATTTAATATGYTTTTTTAAAAAGGCCAAATAGGCTAGCTGAATTTTATATTATTATTTTTTGAAAACCTTCTCCGCTGAATGCATAGTGTTTCCCACGCTTTTCATTCTAGTTTTGTGCAGGAAATRTCTAGAAAACAAAGCAGGTATAACTCTAAATATTCTTTTTCCCGCTTGTTTCATAGTCTAATTACCAGATCATCTTGCCGATTGTATGCCCCCCCTTTTTTTTAGAAAAATGACATCGCAAATTCTATTGCTCACAAACGTCGTTTATTTTATTTTATTTTTAATAAATGACTTGTTTTAATTGTGTCCTTTTGAACCGATTCCGACTAATGCTAGAATTATCAATAGCTGACATGTACTGGCTATACAAAAACTTCCTGTTTTTGCATTCCTTGCAATAATGTACTTTTTTGTATATGTTTGAAGGAGGAAGAGGAAGAGGAAGATCAACCTATAGGATTAGTGTTGCCCGACGTAACCGTGGGTAAGGATTCAGCAAAACATGTCTTCAACATTCTGGATATAATTCAGACTTCTCACAGTTGTTGTTGTTGTTTTTTGGCTACTTGAAAATATATAGACTGATTCTATTAGCTGTAGTTTAGCTYCGTTTTATCGGTTGGTAGCGAATATATAATTCAAATACATTATGCGTATCTTTGCACCATCGTAGTCTTGGAAATTATGTGTCTTTGTTTGTGTAACTCTGACACAAATAGAAAAAAAAGTCTAGATGTAAGTATAAACTGATATAATCATAAGACTAGTAGCTGATGGCAACAATCTTTTTATAGGAAGTACCTATGCTGAAGAGATAACCATTCACAGRTCTTGCATAAAGGCGGACTTGATAGATAAGTTCAAAAAGAAAATTCCACCTGAAAATGCTTCCTTTAAAATGATTGACCACAGAGGAAAAATAGAAGAAGGTGAAGGTGTGGGAGTGGGAGTGGCCAGGGATGTGTTGTCCACGTTTTGGCAGCAGGTGTTCTCTTYAGTTATGGTTGGAGACATCGAAAAAGTACCTGTAATCAGACATGATTACCAGTACGAGCAATGGAAAGCTTTAKGAGACATTCTGGTCTATGGCTATCAATCCCTAAACTTTTTCCCTATTGGTATTTCAAAGTCCTTCCTGTCTTCATGTGTGTTTGGTGAAAAACGAATCACCAAAGACTGTCTGCTGTCATCTTTTCGAAACTACATCTCTCCCGATGAACGTGAAATCTAGGACAAGGTAATGAAAGGTAACATTTCTGATGACGACAATGATGATCTGGATTTCTTGGGGAATTACAAATGCTATAAATTACTTAGTAAAGAAAACGCACAAGCCATCATGTCAGAATTGGCTCACCAAGAGCTAATTCAACGCCAAAGATACATTGCACAGGCCTGGCTACAACCGCTAACTTCTCTGAAAAACAAGCAAGTATTCAAAACACCTGAAGATATTGAATCACTCTGCGAAGCGAGGCGCCCCACAACTAAAAAAGTGATAAAGGCACTGCAGGCAACCCCCTCAAATGAAGCAGAACGTCAGAGTCTCCAATTCCTTAAGAAATTCATCCGATCCTTAGATGTGAAATCACTGGAAGCCTTTTTGAAATTCACAACTGGCAGTTTCACAATGATGGGCGAGGTGGGACTTAGCATTTCGTTCACAACTCTGGAAGGATTTGCTCGAAGACCAATAGCTCATACATGTGGGCCATCGCTGGAGCTCCCATGTACCTACCAGTCATACCCAGAACTGGTGGAGGAGTTCACAGCTATTTTACGTGAACAGGAAGCTTGGGGATTCAACATTGTATAGATCTATTATGTTACAGCTCACACTGTTTRTATTAAAATATATTGTAAGCTAGGATACTAGATAGAGCAAATTCAAGAAAACCATTCAACCAGAACACAAATCAGTAAGACAAAGATTACTGCACATTAATCTGTTGAGAATGGTATTGTTCTTTGTTTGTTCTGTTTATTTAGTACTGACAATTTGTCACAATATGTTACTACTTGTCATTAGTTACCTTGTTTTTGTTTCATGGTTTTCCTGCATTTGCTCTATAAATTAAAATGTTACAGTTTACTAAATGAAAATAGCGCGTGCTTAACAACGTTTTTTTATGTTACTTTTAATAGTTAGCTATTTCTCTGTAGTCTATATGTCTAAAAGTTATATTGACTATTACTAATTGCTACTAACTTGTTGGTCTATTTCTTTTCATGTTTGRCGGAAAACCACTCTATTATTAGTTATATAGTTATATTAGTTTTATACATTAGTTAGTAATAGTTATTATCACTAAATCAGAACAGTTTATATGACAAGGAGACCATTTGAATGTATAAACTGTATTGTTCAATAGTCTCCTTCACGGTTACCTGCGCMATCTTGAAAGGTAGCCGTGCCTTGTCATCGAAGCGAGACAACCGTTGAGCGTGCAATGATAGAAACCTTCTTTCACACCTATAGACAATTATTCACAGGTATCTATCATTGCACGCTCAACGGTCGTCTCGCTTCGGTGCAAAGGCACGGCTACCTTTCAAGATGGCGCAGGTATCCGTGAACGAGACTATTGGTCTTCTATGTATTTCCCGTGTCATAGAGTGGTTTTCATTAACCCGAGAAACACACTTTAGTGTATTTATCGCTATTACCCGTACACTTTGGCTCTTTTGTTTTTTATTGTCTCTGGGAGAGTCAGTACAAAACATGGACCGGGGGTCCATGGACCGCCATCGTGGACCTATCCATGGACTGGTCCATGGACCAATTTTCGTGGACCACCCTAAAATATAGATATATATTTTTTCATGTTTGTTATTTTAAAGCACTTGTACCAGTTTATAGAGTGCATAAAGTCAGTTGAACTGTGAAATATCAAAAAACATTTGTTATTGTCATATAACAATCAAATAGAGTGCTTGAAAGCAAAGCTAATAGAAATAGGAGCTACTAAATTGTATTTGGTGTACAACTGCTATTTTACATGTCCACTGACATGTTGATATTGTTAAAGATTGGATGTTTTACTGAGTCTAGCACCATCAGTATATGACTAGGCTTTTCTGAATCGATAACACACTTTTCTGTTGTCATGTTGATATTGAGAACTATTCTGCATATGACTTGGCTTTGTTGATATTAGAACCATAT